TCGGTTCGGGGATGAATTAGTTGCTTATATACCTGACTCTATCTGGGATTCTGCAGAAGTCAGGAGAAGGTTGCTTTTGCTCGTACAGTTGCTATTATCCAATGAAAGGGAAGGATTAGTAGGGGAAGCTGTTCCGGTACAGAAAAAAGGTGTCGACACGTTTCCGACTACAGAGGCAAAGGAGGGACGGATAAGACGAGGGGAGAGCACAAGTGGACGGCACGGCGCACGGAATGGATGGGCCCCACACTGCGGGGTTCCAACCGACCGATAACCGGCGGGGACAGGCGATTGCATCATTTTTGCTTGAAGCTTCTTCACTCGACACAACTTGTAGTGACCCCATCACTTATTCAAGTATAAGTAGCAGGGCTAGTCTTTTGCTATGGGGGAATTGACAAGAGGGTCTAATGGGGCTCATTCATAGCCTTCTTGGCCATGACAGGCTGTCGCGCCCATGAGGTGATTGACAAGTCCGACTTATTTGTACTTGGCGGCCTTTTCTATCCCCGCACCATGCGGCACCAACGCCGATGAGCTCTACCCGGCTGAGATTCCGACAGGCAGCCCAGGGTTACATAGGCCAGGGTTGCGGCTTGCTACGCCCTCGGTTCAGTCAACGGTCACCGTTGTTTTCCGGTTGTTGGCCGCGGAGTGGTTCCAAGATATTTCGACATTGATAATTAATACTGACATGAGGTATTGCTCATAAACCCATTCTCATCATATATAACCGTTGATGCCCAAATATTGACAGTGAGAACCCCATAACGCCGGCCAGGTGCTATGCTTCAGAAATCATTCAATCAAACCCAACAATAAAGATACAGCGCTCGCTATACACAGGCTCAGTCCGTTGTTGTTGAAGAAACCAACGTCGTGGCTGCCGATGCCCTCCGTCTCCTCTCCACCTCGGTTCTGATGTGCATTTGTCGCTGCTCCTCGATGGTGACACGATTTCGACGATAGACGCCAAAACTGAGTAGGATCGCTATGCCAGATAGAATAGCTCCCACTTGCATGTCTTTGCAGAAGGAGTCGGTATAAACTTGACGCACGGCTGCGGCTTGCGCCTCCGTCAAGTTCGCCCCTGCCCCGTGGAGCGACGACAGCTGTCCCGGGGTGAGCACGCCAGTCAACTCGTCTCGCATGAAGTTGCCCAAGATGGCCGTTGACGCGGCGATTCCCAGACTGCCACCGAGAATCCGCACCTGTGCGATGATTCCTTGTGCGGGGGCTTTGCTCCGTTAGCTGTCTGTCTACATCTAGCAGAGTCAGATTACTCACCATGATCTGGAATCTCGGACTCCGTGGCTCCTAGGACGGTTGATGAAGTGGCTGACAAACCAAAGCCAAAGCCGATAAACGTAAGGAAACCAAGTGCTTTGGGTTCCAGTTCCACAGACGACGACAGTGTCGTCATTAAGCCGCAGCCGATACACACGAAGCAGCTTGCCGTCGTCATTGTCTCAAAAAGTCGGTTCTTTTTCTTGTTGATGATTCCGCCGAGAGTGGTTCCTAGCGCGACAGAGCCTAGCATGGGGAGAAGTAGGATACCCGCAAGCAACGAACTCTTTCCGTTGACGATCTGCAAGTGGACAGGGAAGGCGTAGATGACCAGGAGGTACGGGAACCCGAGAAACATCGTGTTGAGGATTGTGGCGACGTAGACACGGTTGCGCAGAAGTCGCATCGGAATAGCGGCCATGATGCGGCTGCTCCAGAACTTGGCGACGAGAGCCTCCCAACCCAACAATAAGATGAAGCATACGCCACCGACGGTAACGGGGGCGATGAAGACGGCTTGACGCCACTTATTGCCGTCCGAGCCGACATTTTGAAAGGAGAAGACAACGAGAACTGATGCTGCAACGAGAAGAAAGGAGCCCACGATATCCAGCTCCTTCCAGCGTCTACGTTGCAGCGTTGGGAGGTGTTTAGCGTCGGGCCATGTCAGGTAGAAGATGAGCATTGAGACGAAGCCAACGGGACCACTGTTTTGATGTTAGAACACGGACGTTCTTCTCCAAGGACTGGGTTCACTCACTTGATCCAAAAGATCCACCGCCAAGAGGCGTAATGGGTAAGGATACCTCCCAGAACTGGGCCAAGGACACCGGCGCTCGCAATTACCATGCCGACGAGGCTGGACATGTACTGAAGCAAGTGCTTGGGGGCAACCTCGGGAAAGATAATCATGGTGATGGAATAAAGGCCTGGCGGAAACTTAGCAAACGACTTGACGATAACTAGCATTCTCTACTCACCAGAACCACCCAAGCCTTGCAGAGCACGGCATGCAACCAGCTGCTCCAAGTTCTGGGCAAACCCGCAGCCCAGGGAAAAGGCGAAGAAGATGATGAAGCTTGCCAAAAACGCATTGCGGCGGCCAACAATGTCGGATGCTCGAGCCACCAAGACGGCACAACTTAGGTATGTGAGCGTGTATGCGAGTGCAACCCAGTTGATCAAGTCGACCGAGTCAAACTCTGTGCCAATGGTGTACAGACTTGTTGCCACGATTGAAGCATCCAACATGGAAAGGAACAGTCCAAGACAGAGTCTTTCGGGCAGGTTAGCATAGAGATCTACAGCAGCCCTCAACACATCGTGGGAATAATTACCCAATACTGAGCAGCCAGAATCTCCATGGCGGCAAGGTGGCATCTCTGTAATGATGATTCTCTACTAGACCATCGGCCTTAGTGGACTCGATGTCCTCCTTGATGTTACCCATGACGATTGCTTCCTTCAACGATGCAGAGTTATGCCAGCAAGTAGCAGTCGCTATGAGAGTGTCGTCGATGTAATGATGTGGTCGTGAATGTCAAATCGAGGTTGTCGGTGGATCCAGGCCTTGTACAACGATTAAGTAGTTGTTGATGTGACTGATGGTTCTGAAGGGATGTTCACTCGGCTTAATCCTGTCCGTCGGTAGGGCGAAAGTCTGACTCGAAGGTCGTCGGTGTCGGAGCAACACTATGTCGACAACCACTCACGATGTACAGATACGGGGTTGAGAAGCAGAGCCGGGGCAACTCATAGTGAAGGATGTCACGAGAGGCCCGGGAAGCGAATCTGACAGGAGGATCAAAAGACGCTTGGGAAGAGAATGCGAGGTCCAAGTAAGCAGAACGGGGCGAAACCCACGAAGGGAACGCGATTAAAAGGTTGACAGGTGCCATGGCCGAACATAAGAGAGAACTGGAGAGGTTGAATCGGCGTTCGGGGCGAGACGAATTAGGGAAAAAACGAACGTTCGGCGTTCAGCAACGCATTCGCATTCGCTAGCTCAGAAACGACCTCCTGAGCTCACGGTCCCAGTTGTTTGTCTTTGGCCCGCCGCTGCTGCCGGCCGTAAGCTGATCCCGTAGGCGAATGCGGCGTGGACCCGGCGCGCCACACCAAAAAAAAACCACCAGAGAGTCAAACAAGTCGGTAGTGAGACAGACCAATACCAGTGAGGCGAGCGAAGAAGGGAGGGCACGATAGTGCAGTAGTCTAGGCCGCCGCATTTCTTTCGGTCGGAGTCCCCTTGGGGTCTTGTATAGCTTTTCGGTGGCAGCAGGTCGTCCGATGAGAAATGCTAAAACCCGCCTCCCCGACGCACCACGGCCGTTAAAGAATCAGCTGCAACGTGGTCTAGATCCATCATCCAATCCAGGCCCGATCTGATCAATGGTATCTCATCGGCGAAGGCCCTAACTTTCAGCTCCGTGAATCACTGGATCCAGGATAGATGACCTCAATCTTCTAAGTCCGAGGATGGCCAGCATCGTAGTTTGCTCAGCAACGTTTGCCAACGCCGAAGGGTATTCGTGACTACCGACCGAACAATTATGCTCCGCTGGATCCAGCTGCCGAGTGCGCAGCCAGGCCGCAGACTCAGTGCTTAAACCCAGCGACGGGAATGAAGAAGAGAGGCGAATCCGTCGCTGAGGAATGTGGGTTCGACACCGCCTATTCGCAATGCCCACTCGGACGGCGCTCGTAAGTAGGGAGTAAACCATGGTCATGCACTCAAAGTCCTGGCTTCGGTGATCGTTGAGTCTCCGTAGTGGATGGCTGCGCCACGCACCGAATACAATGTGCTGTTAGGATGTGTAAATCCGGGCTCTCTCCCACTCTCCCTAGTATCATTTGGGAACTGTAAAGATAGCAGCAGTAACCCCTAAGCAAACAACAGGGTAAGGAGATTAGAGAGCAGACCAGACGAGGGAGACGCAAACTTCATTTCGTGGCATGTTTGCTCAGAGTGCACAGAGATATGTACACACGCGCACACGGCAGAGACAGGTGCTGAGTTGAGAGAATTGAGATGGCAAAGAATACTGGCTGGGTTGACTGGGATCTCCGTTGCTTCTTCCTCGGCTTGTTGGTTTTTCATGTTTGGCTTTGAGTGCACATACGACTGACCGTTCCCGGCACTGCTGGTGTCTGACGATCGTAGATGGAGAGGGCGAAGGCAGGGGGTTTTGTTCATACCTGACAAGCAAAGTTCCAGTCAATTTCACAATGTCTAAGGGAAAAAGAAAGCGGAAATGGATCGCAATTGTGGGGCGTTGTCCGGAAGGTAAGACCCCACGGCCGTACGGGTACCAATGCGGCCCTTTCCCGGGCCGGACGGAGGCCCGCCCTCCCACGTGCCTCCTTAGGTAATTAGCAGCGTATTAATAAGTCATCGCCTGCTTACCTCATCCATGGTCTCACACCTCACCGTGCGAAGAACCCCAGCACTATGCTTTGGTGCCACTTCGTCGTTGACGACACTCAGCCCAGGCACCTTCAAACGGCCAAAAAGGCGCTGACAACGACCGTCCCACATCCAACCCACCACAGTGCACACGTCCTGTCGCTATCGTCAGTCAAGGCCGACTTGCTATCGCATTGACTTATCGAACCTCACTATATCGAGACTTGGACTGTCCCTGGATCTCATCGAATCCTAGTATTCAATACTTGACACATCCCCGTCCGGTCTCTCTTCGCCCGCTTCAACCATGACAGACATCATAGCCGACCAGGCGCCGCCAGCCCTCACCGTGCCATCGGAAAAGGAAAAGAAATATGACCGCCAACTCAGGCTTTGGGCTGCGAGCGGGCAAGCTGCTCTGGAGTCTGCCAATATCTTGCTCGTGAATTCCGGCACGGGCACTGTAGGTGTTGAAACACTCAAGAATCTCGTACTTCCAGGTATGAAACCGGTAGCTTACATGCTGGCTCTGAATGTGCACTGCTGTTCTAATACTCATGATCCAAAACTAACGTTCTTAGGAATTGGAAATTTCACGATTGCTGATGATGCCGTTGTGAATGAGGCTGATCTTGGCGTCAACTTCTTCCTGGACGAGTCCCATCTCGGCAAGTCCAGGGCCCAGAGCTGTACTGAGCTTCTGCTAGAGCTTAATCCTGAGGTTCAGGGTGATTGGTATCCTAAAACTTCGGTGAGGCAAATGAATCATGGATCCTGTGTCATAAGACTAACACAGTAGCAGGAAAATACGGGCCTCCAGGAGCTTCTCAAAACCTCCAACCCCTTCACCATCATCTTGTACACACTTCCCATGAAACAAGAAGACCTCACCGTACTCGAGTCGTACAGCCGAGAGCACAAGATGCCAGTGATCGCGATACACTCTGCGGGTTTCTACTCCTATTTCAGCACTCGTCTTCCAGGCATCTACCCCATCGTCGACACTCATCCTGACGTTACAGCCATCACGGACTTGCGGCTACTCACCCCGTGGGAAGAGCTGGAGGCCTTTGCCGACAGCCTGACGAAAGATATTGACAGTCTCGATAGCCATGAACACGGCCACCTGCCATTCGTTGTTATTCTCCTACACTACCTGAAAGAATGGAAGTCATCTCACGACTCTAAGCCCCCTAGCAACTATAAGGAAAAAGTCGAATTTCGCAAGACGGTGGTCGCTGCTACGAGAACAGACAACCCTGAAGGAGGTGAGGAAAACTTTGAGGAGGCTGAAGCTGCCGTGTTGAAGACTATTTCGCCACCGTCACTCCCTTCTGCCGTCAAGGAGGTCTTTGAGTACAAGCATGCCGACGAGGTGAGTGCCCGTTGTATTACCTAAAAAGGCCAACCCACCTAACAACTCTACAGAACGAAGCCACCTCTAGCTTCTGGATCATCGCAGGAGCGGTCCGTGACTTTTATGAGAAGCACGGCTGTTTGCCAGTACCGGGCGGCCTCCCAGACATGAAGGCCCAAACTAGCGTATATGTTGAGCTTCAGAACATCTACAAGGCCAAGGCCCGCAAAGATGCGGCCGAGGTGCTTGAATCGGTCCGTCAGAAAGCCGGTGGCGAGGGCGTCGACGCAGCCGAGGTCGACTTGTTTTGTAAGAATGCGGCCTTTGTCAAGCTGGTCGTCCCTGCAAGTGGCGGGCCCGAACAGCTACGTAGCGTAGCAGGTGAGGAACATCTCCACGAGGATTGCCACAGCCGGTGCTCACACATTGCATTTACAGCGCAGGAATTTGCCAACGACGAAATGGCCAAGGAGGGCGTGGTGCCACTGTCGCTGTTCCCAATCTATCTCGCCCTCCAGTCCACGTCACACACACCCACGGCATCTTCGGATGAGATTCTAGACAAGATCAAGACACTGCTTCCAGACTGGAGCGACAACGAGCGGCTCGCGCAGGCGGCGCAAGAGGTAGCCAGGTCTGGCGGTGGAGAGCTGCACAACGTTTCCGCCGTGACAGGCGGTATGGTGGCTCAGGAGACGATCAAAATCATCACGAACCAATACGTACCCATCGAGAACACCTGCATATTCGACGGCATTGCAAGCCGATGCCAAATTCTTCGTCTCTAGGGGGTCGGAAATACTTTCCAATCCGGCCGCTCGTGGTAACCCCTGGCTTTCATGAGAACGGCCGTCCATGGACCATGGACCGTGGACCCCACTAGAGCAAGGCGTGCGGGGAAGCTGACGATGCTATGTCCAGCCAGCGTGGTTGGTGAAAAGTTGGGAGCAACTCCCCTTGGGCGGAGAGATGAGGGGAAGACGATGGTACGCACCGTGACCCTGGGAGAACCCCAAGGGGGAACCGTCCGGCATTGAAGTCGCAGATCCCGGAAGAATAGATTGTTTTTCCAATATTGGAGAAAGGTCAAACGGGGGTAGTGGTGGCAGTGGTACCTAGAGCTGGGAGACATGGAGATGGTTTCCGGGATGGCAATTTGTTTGGGGGAGGGGTGTGTGGTTGCAACTCTAGCGCCGCAGCAAACTGATTTGCAATGCCGGGGTTGGGCAAGGACACCACTTTAACCATCACTGGACCCTGTCGGATGGGTGTGTGGTTGTCTGGGCGGAGATCACGTCGGACCGCAGTCCCTTACAGCTACCTTACCTGGGATGTGGATGAATTGCGATGCAGCCAGGGGTATGCGGAACCGCTCTGGAGCAGATGGACGTGACGAGGGCTGACGATGGCGGCCTGGAGAAGTCCACCTGCTATGCCTCATGATATGATTCTTGTCGGCTTCATAATCTTCAAGGACCCTATTCACCGCCAATTGTTCAGTCTTTGACCGTACATATGCAAATGATGAGTGATCTGTCAGTCTTGCCGTGATATCAGGTCCCGACAATGAAACTTCCGGATTGTGGGCAAAAGTGTCCGCAGTGAAAAGGCATCGATCGTCTGATCTGTACAGAGAGTACGACATTGAAAACACTGAAAATGCATGCCAAGAACTCGGACGATTTCGGAGAGATAAGGATTCTTTGCTTCTCAGATCATTCCGGTGGGATATGGGATATAATTCTTCAACGGCCCCCAAACCTTTGAATTTCCTTATTAAAAAGAAACTGATAAGTGAGAAGTGCTGGGTAGAAGATTCTTCCCTGACTCAAACGACGGCATATAACAGCGGAGCCGCCCGTTTATTGTGGTCTTATTCATACAGAAACAATGTAACATACTGCGCGACTGAGGGAATAAAACAACGTCAAACAAGTGAACAACAACCAAAACGATTCGGAAGTTCAAGAACAGAAAACCGCAAAGGGTATCAGGAACAATCCGACTTTGGAGCCGGATGTCCAGAATTTCCAATTCTGGAATATGAACGAGGGCGGCTCTGGACGGAACAGGAATCCGATTAGCGACAGCTAAGAAAGCAATTTCTTGGTATTGGTACAGAATCTGGACGTGATGGTCAGCATATTACCAAGGTTTTCGGCTGGCTTTCCGAAAGGACTGCCTCCAAGGCATTGGAAAGGCACGAAACTAGCGAAATGTCTGTCTGACAGTTCTTCAATGTCTGGCACGATCCATAAGCAATACGCAAGCCACCGGCGGGAATAAGAGGGTGTAGATGGGTGCAGATGGGCGTGTGTGTGCGTCTGAGCCGTGTCAGCAGACACCCATCAACTTCACGATCCTCTGCAGGTTCGTCCGGCTGGCCTTGCAGGCTGAACCGGCGGGGGGCGGCAAGGTCGGATACGTGCGGCGAGTTGCCCGAGCAAGTGTCAAAGTGGGCTGCCGTATGATGGGATGCGTACCTCCTGGGCTGGGCGATGCATCTCGAGACGGTTTGCAAGCCGCATGCCTCCATCGAGTTGCTATCATGGCGGTCAAGGAGGGACTATTCTCAGGATGCGCATCCAAGATGGGTCAGGGTGCATGGACTGCGCAGAATGTAACCGACAGGAAGACTTTGAACGGCGGCTATATCGTCAAATCCAAGTGATGGAGCAATAGCGCCGACTTCTTCTGCGGCGTAGTGCTACTTGTGCTGTTGCTTCGATCCCGCAGTGCGTTTGACGGGCCCAAGATCGAGGTGTGGAAATAGAGTCAATCTTCGTAGAGGACAAGAGCCGGCAAAAGGATTGACAAGACTTGTCAAAATGTATGACGTTTGCTCCAAAGCAGAATACCCCAGACTTCTTCTTCGCTCATCAGATGGACAAGCGGGTCCTGTATTGAACCGAGAAAAACGGGCAGAGAAAGGCGCAGCCGTCTCTGTGCGGGCTGGCCCGTAAACGGGCTCGCTGCCCGTCAAGTAGAGCCGTCACTCGACAACTTTCCCTGTCTCTCGGGCGCAGCCGTCGAGCAGCCGAGCCAGATGCGTCAATAAGATTAGACACGTGTCGATAAAGGTGGCGGGCCGAATTGCTGTGCCGGCGAACATAGTAAGCTGGGCAGGCCTCTTTCGGAAGCCAGTTTGAACGACATGTACGAGCCTCGAAGGTGCACACTCGAGAGCGCCCATGCGGCATTTCGCAGTCTTCGTGATCACTCCCGCGTATATCCCGCAGGAGGCCTTACAAGTTACGGATAGTCGTCGGAGAGGCCCTTGTCATTCTGATTACTCGCAAATTGAGCATACTCTGGGACCGGACTCGCGGAAGAATCTGGCTGAGTAAATCACGGTTACACTGCCCCGGTCGACCGTCGGCTTGAGAAGTTGCAAGCTTCAGTCAGCGTCGGACACAAGCCGCTACTGGAAGGCCAACCATGCTTCATGCAAACATACGCACCCCTACCTCCACAACCCGTGACTCAAAGATCCCCGCAGGAGAAGCGCGGCTAGACAGGAGACGACAAGTCTAGACGGTTCGCCGGGTCCGATACCCTCTGCTATTGCACAATCCTGAATCTGGGGAACCATGCCTTCAGGAACCTTGGAGATCATCCTCTGCAGACCATGGACAAGCTACTGCAGGAGTGCCTGGTGGTTTGCGACTGCGAAAACGATGCCGCCTCGTTGATCGACGTGATCAAAGACCATCTTTTGCGGTGTTCTGTGATGCCAAAACATATCTCAGCCTGTAGTGTTGCCACTGGCCGGGAGTACCGCGTGAGGCACATGGCAACTCAAAGAGGGATATATCCCACAAGCCAGCATATGCCGTGGTCATGCAGATTAGCGAAAGACATTGTTTCATCTCAGGTTGTCGGGGAGGCCATTGTTCCCTGTAGTGGCGCGTGTAGTCGGCATTAGAGAGAGAGTAGTCTTCTCTTCAAAATCCAACGGTATGCAGGAGCAGGCACCCGCTCCAGGCCAGCGAGGAAGGGCGCCTAAGAGTGAGGTGCTGTCGGCTGACCGGATCGAGCATACCACACCTTAGTCGATGTGTTTTAGACTTCTAGTCATGCCTGGTCGATGGAGGAGGGAGGCAATGTTGTGGGGTATCGAATACCCAGTAAGTGCGGATGCATTGCACGAGGTCAACCGCGAAGTGAAGGTTAGCTCTTGTCGAGCACATGAGCGGTCACCGCCACAGTACCAGGTCTTCAGTGCGGTGCGTCAGCGGGAGATTGAGACACAACGGCCCAGAGGCAGACGTGGTGGTGATAAGATCAGGGAGTCCCTCAGTGAGCCGTGTGTCGTTCTTTGGGTCCGCAAAGACCTAGATGCATTAGTGTGGCTTTTAGCAGTTGAATAGGCGTTCCTTACTTTAGGCAAATCTGCTCCTTTAACGGATGACGGGCGGCAGACAATACGCAGGGGACATGGGAACGGTTCGTCGGGAGAGGTGCCAGGTACAGCTCCTCAGCAAGGCGTGTCATTGCGTGGAAGGCTGTCCACCTGATGTGTCTTGCCGTTGTTGATTAGTGCAGGCTCTCCAGGTACAGTTGTCCCGTCCAGGTCGCGCACGCGAGACTCTGAGCACATACCCAGTAATGATGGAGGCCGGCCGGAATAGAAACCAAGGGAGGAAAGGTCGAGACGGTAGAGGAGGCAGCGTGGTTGGAGGAACCAAACTTGTAATGCAAAGGGGTGTGGGGAGGGTAGGAGCGGTTATGGAGCTATATGAGACGGGCGGCAGATTCAAGTACTCCAAGAAGTAGAGGGAAGAAGCAGAAAAGAAGAAATAGGCGCATGCTGGTGTGACATGGGCTGTGATGAATGCGTGACTGAGCCGCCTCGTCCGTCTGGCGCTCCTGTGAGAGGTACCCGTCGGTAGGGCCGGTCGTCCTGGATCGATGAAGCCAAAATTGAGACCCACGATGGGCGGCACATGCCGGCGGGAAGTGCTTTGAAACAGCCGAAAGCTTTCGGGATCGAAGCCGGGCAGAAATAAGGTCTCTCTGTTGGAGTGTAGTGGAAGCAAGTCTACTGAGACTTGGAAGATGCACCTATACTTAAACGCTGCTATGACTTCTAGACAGCTTCACGACGCTTGCCGCGAGTTTGGTCGCCTTCGGGTTCTATAATGCGGCTTCCCATGACGAGGTTCACGATGAAACAATAAGACAGCCTTTCAGAGTCCGGCAAGCCGTTGATCAATTTCCTGCTTTTCGTTCGGTCAAGATGTCATCCCCTGATGGGCCGATGAGGGAGGGATGGTAAGCAAGCCGGCCGAAGTGAGATGCAATGAGCCGGTCCGCCAGTTAGAGCAGACCGGATCAGGACAGAGCAGAGGTGTAAGACATGAATTGATCAACCATATCGGACTGCTGTCGGGCTGCCGCATGAGGCCGAGAAGGTGTCGTCTCGTCTGTACATGGAAAACAGAGTCAGATGTCAAAGAAATTTGTGTCCCCTCACAAATTGGAGGCCGTCTTCTTTAACAAGGATGCGGGGACAGCTTGGAGAAGCAGGGGGGAGGAGGGGGAGGGGCTTTAGAAAGAAGGTGTACGGATACCCTGGATCGGCGGTGGTACCACCCTGTTTATTTCTTCCACACCTCCTCCCTTCACCACACGCCTCTACCACAGTAGGCGAATTAGCCTGGCACCCAATCTATGAGAGGAAGTCCATGGTGACCGGCTGTCAAGATGGAGAGGATGGATAAAAAATTGAGAAAAAAGAGCAGACAATGGAGCTTAGAGACAGGCTAAAAAGACTTGGTGTGCGATGCGCGTATGGATCTTGCTCCACATGTTCAGGACGGCTGCGGATATGCGCGGAGACGGAGACGGAAGGCCTGAAAGACACACCAAGGCTCGAAAAGAAAGGGAATAGAGGGTCGGGCAAGAGTCAAGAGCTTCGCGTTCGGCTAGGGCGGTACGGATAATAGCGCGCTGGTAAGGGATTCCAGACCGTGGTTATTGTCGTCGTTGAAATGAGGTGTAAATGCCATGGCTGAGGCGGGACTACATATTACCGGTGTGGCTGATGCTATTACCTTAGGTAAGCATGGAGAACCTGCCTCTTTTGACGCGAAAGGGGAACTGCTTTCCTGCCTCCCTCACGTCGACGGTCGCACGGTTGCACACGTCCAGAATTCGAGAAGGAAAAAGAAAGTTGGAGATAATGGTCCGTGTCTACTACGTATATGTTCCTTACTTAAGCACTGCTAAGGTAATGGAAGGCATCGTGGGCATTCGCGGACCGCAAGAAAAGCAATAACTTTAGCTTCACACGCCAGGGGTTCGGCCCCGCCCGATTGATATTCCCCACCAGTCAGTGGCTGACGGCTGTCACTGGGCACTTCAACCTAAACACTACTTCACCCGCTTGCCGTCCAACGTGGAAGCCATTGCCACTTGCAATACGCACCTGACCGTGGATCAAGGTCCCAGGAACTATGTCTGAGAACGAATAAGGATCCCAGTAACCGTTCGGATGCCAGATGTGATGTGATGCGATGCGATGCGATGCGATGTTGCCTACAAGGTGTTTCTTATTACACACCTCCGTTTGGCAGTAAGGTACCTTTCCTTGCCTTACATTACCTTACTTTACTTTATGGATACATGTCTAAGGCATAGAAGGAAAGAGGTACCGAGGGTAAATTGATCACATCGGGTGGTGGACACGCGCAGTAGGTAATCACGGTTGCGAGCGGTACGTTCACATCGTTGTCCCGTCTTCCGTTCTGTCCTCTGAGTGGTCTGTCAAACCCGTGGTCCGGTACGCTACCCCACTTTGACCCGACGTCCCCCCGCCCTCCCATCGCCGGTTTCCCCGCCCCCAGACCACTCTCTCACTCTCTCATTCACTCATTCACATTGCTTGCCCTCCCCCAACCGCCAAACTTTGCCTGTTGATTAATTTAACAATTTGCCCATCGGTCCGGACGACAACACCAACCGTGTCCACCCATCCCTCCTGCGACTTCTTCGCTCCCATTTTCGCAAATCTCCTCACAACGAGGTTTAGAGCCATTTGCGCACTGCAACCTTACCCCAATCCCCATATTTTCGTCCGTACATTAGCCCATCGTGCCGTGTCACCTGAGCTGTGTTGTTGGTGTCGCTAACTGCTGACTTGCTGTATCTAGCAAACCTGCATTCTCCCACCCATCCCATCTTTCACCAGCCACAGTGACACAAACCTGTCATCCCTCCTCATCCTCATCCTTCTCCACACTCTCCAGATTTTCTGCCCCAATCACAGATCGCCTTGATATCCAAAGGGGGTGTGTCTTTCGCTTCATCCTCCGCTTCTTCCTGCTTTGCCTACCAATGACTTCTACTGCTATAAACCAACGATATAGCACTCTACCTACCAACAGTGATCTGCGCTGCTTTTACGCCTCTCCCACCATCTGAACTCTCTGTACCACGGTGCCTGTGTGCCTGTGTCGGCCGCTCGGTAGTGGCCTTGGCCACGATCCTCAAGCCCCTGGAGTCCAAGACACCGCCACGAGGCTTCCCATCATGCCGTCCCACTCGAATCTCTGTGAGGCCAGGTCCACCACTCAGCGTTGCGCTTCACTCAGACCAGCGAGTTGTCGTACCTAGATGTTTTGGTCTGATGATATAGTGTCTGGCGTGCCTAGGTATCGTTCCCGTCCCTCCGGGATTTGGCCCTGTTACGGTCCCGTTCACTCTCATGATCCGTCCACGCCCCTCCTCCAGGGATTGTGGGACAAGAAACCCCGGTCAGCGTTCCTGGCACTAGGTGCGAGTCTACGGCTCCACGCTGAACCTCGCAGGTTTGACTTTGACCACCTCTTCGGCTCGTCGCCTCCAAGGCTCCAACACGCCCATGTTTGTACACTCAATCCACTTCTCTCGGTTCCCCTCGTCCTAGCTCATTCTGCCCTCTGCCTCTTTCTCTCACTCTCTCTCACTCTCAAGAAATAGCCCACCAGCCGCCTCTTTCACACACCATGAACATATGCAATCGACATTCTACAGATGTCACCTCGCTATGGACCAGAGACACTTTGAATCTGGATCAAGCCCCCCTCCATTGTGAGCCCCCCAGTCACTTTCTTGGCCGTCTAGCCTGGTTTGGTTCCGGCCGGCCAACCCTAAGCTCAATTGCCTGTCCATCTTGCTTCACGTAGCCGACACGGCATTGAGGTTCCATCGTCTCTTTTCCCTCTCATTCAGTGTACCTCGAGACCCATGCTGCTTTTCCCCACACCCAGTGTTGCCGCGCCGGGTCCCTCGAATGGTTGCCGTGCTCGGGAGGGTACTTCATTTTGACTCTACTCAACAACTCTCTCTTCCAGTTTGTATATAATGTCTGCGTCTGCGCCAACCTTGTTGACGAACTGATCTGTGCGTCTGGATTTCCCGCAAAGACAAAGATAGATCTTTTGATCATCTCAACGCCTCTTGACAGAATTACCCGAGGCTCTTGCGAATTATCTCAGCTTCTCATCGGCCAGAGCAACTCCATCTTCTCGGCAACCGCGAACATGGCTCCGTCCATCTCAGTACCCGCTCAGGGTGGAATGTTTCACACCTGTGAGTCTCTTTGAGCCGTGATTGTCTTCTCCAACTCACACCATCCAGTCCAGGGCGTGACGCCACGGAAGCAGACGTCAGAGTCGCAGGAAGGCGGCAAATCGACGAGCTCGTCAGGCTCGAAGAGAATCACTACCCCACATGCTTGTGCCGAGTGCAAGAGACGAAAGATGTACGTTCCGCTCGGCCTCTCTTGACCCGATATCATCTGACCTCTTTGACAGCCGCTGTGATGGCCAACAGCCATGCGGCCAATGTCTCTCAAGCCGGGCTCCCAAGCGCTGCTTTTATGACAAGCACAGACAGCGCGTCATTCCGTCTCGCAAGACGCTCGAGGCACTCTCACAGTCTCTCGAAGAATGCCGCTCTGTGCTCAAGCGTCTTTTTCCCCATCAAGACGTACAATCGTTACTCCCATTATCTCGCCACGACCTCCTTGGTCTCCTTGAACACCCGGTCCTGGATACGCCAACCGCGCTACCCTCACCGCCTCTCAACACCTCCCCCCTCTCACAAGAACTAGACTCCCCGGTTTGCTCCGGCTCCGAGCGGGGCTTCTCGAGCCTCGAGCTCATGCCTGGTCGGGACACCGAGTGGGACGAAGAACGCCGCGTACGCGATCCTATCCCCATTGAGGCCGACGATGTCAACGCCCTCTCGCTGTCCGTGGACCGTCAATCGTCATATCTCGGCGCCTCTTCAATCAAAGCAGCGCTCATGTGTCTCATGAAGGTTCAGCCGGCACTTCGCAACGCGCTCACCACGCCGCTCCAGAGCGCCGAAGTCACACACAGCTTCCCATCTATGCGACAGAGAAGCGCCGTGCCCAAGGATACCCAGCGCATCCCGTGGTCATGGAAGGGCCAGACGCTCATTGATGCTTACTTCAAACGCATTCATGTCTTCGTTCCCATGCTGGACGAGGCCGCTTTCCGAGCCGATTATCTGGAAGGCCAGCGCTTTGATGCCCCCTGGCTAGCATTACTGAACATGGTCTTTGCTATGGGCAGCATTGTCGCTATGAAGTCGGACGATTACAACCACATCAACTACTATAATAGGGCCATGGAGCATCTGCCCATGGATGCCTTTGGCAGCAGCCATATCGAAATGGTGCAAGCCCTCGCGCTGATCGGAGGCTACTATCTGCACTACATCAACAGACCCAACATGGCCAACGCTGTCCTTGGCGCGGCCATTAGAATGGCAAGCGCCCTTGGCCTTC